GGGGGGGGGGGGTGGTCATCAAGGTGTTCGCTGGCAGAGACAGCTTTGAAGGGCAGTTTGCTGGAAGGTTCTGGTGAAACACGTGCTACCCTGTCTCCAGAATGCCCCATGGGTCTGCGTGGAAGGCAAGACCTTCAGGTGACCTTCAGAAGGGCTCTGGAAAGCCTCCTTTGCCTGACTGGGAGATCCTGCCGGGAAGTCGAGAGGAATGTAAAACCAGCATTCTCTTTCCTCACTGTGGTTGTTCTGGAAGGTTCTGGCAGGAGTTTTTTTTATTAGCCTAGAGAGCAAATAAGCATTACTTTCACCTCCTTAGGATACCAGGCCTGGAGGTTTTCACAAACCACTCTTCTGCGTTCTCAAACCTTCTAGAAGTGAAATCTCTTCTGGTCTGAACCCAGCCCTGCGCAGATGGGTAGAGCTGGGGCCTCGACCACAAACATTCCCCAGGCAGCCCCCTGCGACCGCTCCTTCCCACGGCCTCATGAATCAGGTATCACGGCCTCTTGCTTTGCAGACGACAGAGCTCTGCAGAGAAGTTTCCAGAGGTGAAGGCACTTGCTCTAGGCATGTAATTAGTAAGCAAAAATTTGGGACTCGGACGAGCCTAGTAATTGGAGTCTTCATTAATAAACGGAGAACTAATTATAGTCATCGAAGAGACTGTTCCTTTTCTGTTGTGATTAATTCCGAATTTATTTTTAGTCTTCAAAAGAACGGAGAGTCGTGTTGGGGTTTTGTTCTGAGAAAGAAACGCTCCCGTCCTAACAGTCTTCCTTGGCCAGCATATCGTGCTCAACCCGGGTGGCTTCTGGCAAAGCTCAAGAGTCTCCGGGGATCTGGGTCAACCTGAGCTACTCAGAAGGAACATTCCAGAACTATTTTCACACTTTGATAAGAGGGACAAAACTTAGGGATGAAAAAACTCTAGCTTCAGCCATGCTGTTGGGGAAAGAACTCAAGGTCTGTTTGGCTGGCCTTTGAGGTGAGAAAAGCAGGAATCCAAAGGCAATCCAGCTTTGGGTATGTTAATTGCAGCCCTCAAGCTGGAGGAGTGAACTTCTCTTTCATGTGACTTTGTCTATTTCCCCTGGGCTCCTTGGTGGATATTTTGTTGTTATTTACTCCCCAAAGGGCAGTCTTATTGGACTTCCCTGCTGTCTCCAGGGGCAGGAGGGAATGAGGAATGAGGCAGAAAGTTCTTTCTCTGCCCACGGGCCAAGACCAGCAAAAAGATGCACGTCAATTTCTGCCTCATACATTGTACTTAGTTTCTCTGAAGCCCCTCTTTTCTTCTCTCCTCCTCTTTCTCTTTCCGGCCCTCCCTGCTTCTTTTGCAAATGAAGCCCCCCCAGTTTTCTCTGGGGACTTGGGGTTGGGCATCTCAGTACATGGGAGGGGGAGGGGGCTTGGCTGGGGGAAAGATCTGCCTCCTTCCCTCTTCCCTCTCTTTTCTAGCCCCAGTTTTCTCTTACTTTTTTTTTTTTTAATT